TGGGAGGGGTACAGGTGTAGAGGTGGGACTATAGGGTTGCAGGTGTGGTGTTGAGGGTGGGTCAGTTAGTGAGGGTGGGGGGGGGGCTGCTGCCAAAGTGGGGTTGTAATTGTGGTATTGAGGGGGGCAGTGTGCAACTATGGTGGTGGTAGCAGGGAGGAGGCCTGCAGGCACTGTTTGAGAGTGTAAAATATCCTGTATCGGTGTATTTTGAGAGCTGGAGAATATCTGGGAACAAGAAAAAGTGCAGTGGTGAGAAATAGATGGGATGCAGGCGCATTGGGGAGAGAGGAGAAAAACAAGCACAAATGCAGTGATGAAAGATGTAATGCTGGTACAATGATGAAGGCGAACAGAGTAAGGGCTCGTTCACACTTGGCTGTTTTACCAACGCTTGACAAGCGCCCCTATAGCGTTTGGCAAGGGTTGGTCCGGCGTTTGCAGAGCGTTTTTTAACGCTCCGCAAACGCCGCATGCGCGGTTTAGCGGAGGTTGCTAGGCATTTGCCGAGCATTAAAAATGCCCCAAAATGCCTATAATGCAGTTTGAATGGTGTTACCTCTCCGCAAACACCCCGTAACCGCGTCACAAACCGCACCGCAAACGCCCGGCCGGGCGTGTTCCGGTCCCTGTGACGTCGGGACGTACGGGTGGCGGCGGGAAATTTGAAAATTTTTAAAAATGTAATTTTTTTCCAAACAAATTTTACTTAGCAAAACATTGCTGTTTCAACCCATTTCACATACATTTTGTCCCTAGTGCTTTGTCCTGTGCCCTGCCTGCATTTTGTCTGTTCTTTCTGCCTGGAAACTGAGAAAAGTCCATGGCGTCCAAAAAGCGTCCCTTTAGGTCAAAAGCGGGTTTAGATCAGCTAGAGAACAGCGATAGTAAATCAGAGCCACTTGCAGAATTGAGTGATAATGATTTGTGGGGAAATTCGTCATCAGACACTGAAAACGATTTTGCGACTTTGCTCAGCAAATAACAGTGATAAGGCCTCAGGGCAGCAACCGGTAGGGGCAATCTTTAGTCCTGACTCTTCAGCTGGCTAAACCTTGTGGTTCAGTAATCATTGGCACAATTTAAAGCAGTCAGCAAGGCCTGCAGGCAGTATTAGAGCTGTAGAGTGTCAGGTAGGCATTTCCTAATGGCTCAATTTCTAACGTTGGTAACAAGTAGTGGCCACAAGGCCCTCGCTCTGGGTTGCTTGTGGCGACTCCGGTAGGTAGCACAGTGAGGTATGTGTCCTGGCGATGGTTCCGTCCCTCAACTCTCGGGTCACAGCACTGTCCCCTCGGTGCTGTTGCACACTGTAGAGGTTTTCCACAGGTTCAGTCTCTCTATTAGAGATAGCAATGTACTGCAGGTGCCTGTCCCTGACTTCCTCCCTTGAGAGAAATCACTTTTAATGGGAAAATCTGGTTCTCTGTTCCCTCCTCCTTACTGCTGATTGGTCCATCGCTGTTGACAGGAGGGAGGGGGGAGAACACAGAGTGGATGGCGATCTGGAATCACCATATGCAGCCCACTGCTACACACAATGTCTCGCTCCAGTCCTCTAACTGCTTTATTATTGTCCTCCCGCTGCTGACAGAAGAAGGGGTGGTGGGGGCAAGTGGAAGTTACACATAGCCTGCCATTATAAATCCTGTTCCCATACATCACACTGGTCCAGCTTCCAGCTGCTCTATCTCCCTCTCTGCTGTGGCTGCAGGAAGAGGGGAAGAGGGTTGCGAGAGGGCAGGTGCTGGAGTTGCAGATAGCACCTAGGCTACAAGTGTGGTTTCTAAACCAGGTCTATGAGAGTCCCCATGCTGGAAGCCATTCCTCCTTAAAGGCACAAGGACACACCAGAAGCTCAGCACAGCACAGCACAATAGCAGGTAAAACAAATCTAGCAATTACAACAAAAATGGCAACCATTCTGTCAGGGCTCCCGGGTATGACCAGAGGTGTGTGACTGACGCAGGGAAACGCAGACTTCAGATATGTTATAAACAATATAATTTATTAACACTAACAATACAAACATAAACGCAGTGCAATACTAAAACATAACACAGTGCAAACAAACCAAACCAACCACCCACAGATGACAGTACATACAATGCAAGCGTCCTCAGGCAGGCCGGGTCAATATCAATCGGGCAGGTAGGTACAGGGGGAGCAAGCGGAGAATGGTCGGGGTCACAAGCCAGGTTCAGCAGGTAGCGGGCAGCGTGGTACAGAGGGTCAGGCAGAGGGATGGTCAGGAACGAGCCGGGGTCAGAGCAGGAGAAGTCAGCAGAGGTCAGATCAGGCAGGGTCAGCAACAAGACAGGAACAGGAACAGGGAGCAGGAACAGGATACAGGGCCAGGAGAAACACACACCAAGGCAGAGTCTGCAGGTCTGGCCATCCCTTAAATACACCAGTATAATCAGTTCCAGGTGTTTGACTGGCTGCAAGGTTGAGTCTCTGATTGCTGGGAGCACCCGCTGGCCAGCCCTGGTACTGCAGCTCATAAGGCAGGTGAGTCCCACTATTGCTGGCCAGTCCATTCCTGACAGTACCCCCCCCTCAAGGAGCGGCCTCAGGACGCTCCAAACAGTCCTAGCTGGACAAAATGTTCCACCGCCCGGGTCTGGTAACTGGCGGGATATCAAAGACTGGCACACCGGGCAGGACTCCGGGCAGCGGCACACCGGGCAGGTCTCCGGGCAGCAGCACACCGGGCAGAGGCACACGGGCAGAGGCACACCGGGCAGAGGCACATCGGGCTGGGCACTCACACCGGGCAGGACAGGGCAGGCACACATCGGGCTGGACTCCGGGCAGAGGCACATCGGGCTGGACTCCGGGCAGAGGCACATCGGGCTGGACTCCGGGCAGAGGCACATCGGGCTGGACTCCGGCAGAGGCACATCGGGCCGGACTCCGGGCAGAGGCACACACGGGCAGAGGGCACACCGGGCAGAGGCACACCGGGCTGGACTCCGGGCAGAGGCACATCGGGCTGGACTCCGGGCAGAGGCACATCGGGCTGGACTCCGGGCAGAGGCACATCGGGCTGGACTCCGGGCAGAGGCACATCGGGCTGGACTCCGGGCAGAGGCACATCGGGCTGGACTCCGGGCAGAGGCACATCGGATTACCAGGCGAAGCAGCAGGCAGCGGGCCACCAGGCGGAGCAGCAGGCAGGCGGGCCACCAGGCAGAGCAGCAGGCACCGGGCACCAGGCGGAGCAGCAGGCAGCGGGCCACCAGGGCGGAGCAGCAGGTAGCGGGCCACCAGGCGGAGCAGCAGGCACCGGGCCACCGGGCGGGCAGCAGCAGGCACGGGCCCCCGGGCGGCGCAGCAGGCACCGGGCCACCCGGGCGAGCAGCAGGCACCGGCCCCCAGGGGGGCGACAGGCATCGGGGCCCCCGGGCCCCCCGGCGGGGCGCAGGCAGGCATCGGGCCCCCGGCGGGGCGACAGGCATCGGGCCCCCAGGCGGAGCGGCAGGCATCGGGCCCCCAGGCGGGGCGACAGGCATCGGGCCCCCCAGGCGGGGCGGCGGGCATCGGGCCCCCAGGAGGGGCGACAGGCATCGGGCCCCCAGGCGGGGCGACAGGCATCGGGCCCCCAGGCGGGGGCGGGCAGGCATCGGGCCCCCAGGCGGGGCGGCAGGCATCGGGCCCCCAGGCGGAGCGGGGGCGCCGGGCCCCCAGGAGGGGCGACAGGCATCGGGCCCCCAGGCGGGGCAACAGGCATCGGGCCCCCAGGAGGGGTGACAGGCATCGGGCCCCCAGGCGGGGAGGCGGGCGCCGGGCCCCCAGGAGGGGTAGCGGGCGCCGGGCCCCCAGGCGGGGCGACAGGCATCGGACCCCCAGGCGGGGCGACAGGCATCGGCCCCCAGGCGGAGCGGCGGGCGCCGGACCCCCAGGCGGAGAGACAGGTCTCGGGCCCCCAGGCGGAGCGGCGGGCGCCGGACCCCCAGGCGGAGAGACAGGTCTCAGGCCCCCAGGCGGAGCGACAGGTCTCAGGCCCCCAGGCGGAGCGACAGGTCTCAGGCCCCCAGGCGGAGCGGCGGGCGCCGGACCCCCAGGCGGAGCGGCAGGCGCCGGACCCCCCCAGGCGGAGCGACAGGTCTCGGGGCCCCCAGGCGGAGTGGCGGGCGCCAGGCCCCCAGGCGGAGCGACAGGTCTCAGGCCCCCAGGCGGAGCGACAGGTCTCAGGCCCCCAGGCGGAGCGACAGGTCTCAGGCCCCCAGGCGGAGCGGCGGGCGCCGGACCCCCAGGCGGAGCGACAGGTCTCGGGCCCCCAGGCGGAGTGGCGGACGCCAGGCCCCCAGGCGGAGCGACAGGTCTCGGGCAGGCCCCCCCAGGCGGAGCGACAGGTCTCAGGCCCCCAGGCGGAGCGACAGGTCTCAGGCCCCCAGGCGGAGCGGCGGGCGCCGGACCCCCAGGCGGAGCGGCGGCGCCCGGACCCCCAGGCGGGGCGACAGGTCTTGGGCCCCCAGGCGGAGCGGCGGGCACCGAGTCACCAGGCACGACAGTGGGCTCCGAGTCAACTGGCATGACCGCTGGCACTGGGTCAGACATTGGATCGTCTGGCTGGACAGCGGGCATCGGGTCACCAGGCATCAGGTCATTTGGCTCGACAGCGGGCACCGCGTCATCTGGCAAGGCAGTGGGCTCCGACCACCAAGTCTGTCATGACCGCGGGCACTGGGTCAGACATTGGGTCTGGCTGACAGCGGGCATCGGGTCACCAGGGCATCAGGTCACTGGCTCACAGCGGGCACCGTGTCATCTGGCAAGACAGTGGGCACCAAGTCACCAGGCATGACAGTGGGCTCTGAGTCAATTGGCACGACAGCGGGCACCGGGTCATCAGGTACCGGATTGTCTGGCTCGACAGCGGGCATCGGGTCACCAGGTATGACAGCGGGCACTGGGTCACCAGGCATCAGGTCATTTGGCTTGCCAGCGGGCACCGCGTCATCTGGCAAGGCAGTGGGCACCGGGTCACCAGGCATTGGATCGTCTGGCTCGACAGCGGGCATCGGGTCACCAGGTATGACAGCGGGCACTGGGTCACCAGGCATCAGGTCATTTGGCTCGCCAGCGGGCACCGCGTCATCTGGCAAGGCAGTGGGCACCGAGTCACCAGGTACGACAGCGGGCTCTGAGTCAATTGGCACGACAGCGGGCACCGGATCAGGTACCGGATCATCTGGATCAACAGGGCATCGAGTCAACTGGCCTAATAGGATCATCAGGCTGGATCAGTTCATCATGCTGGGTAGAGGCATCAGGCTGAGTAGAGGCATCAGGCTGAGTAGAGGCATCAGGCTGAGTAGAGGCATCAGGCTGAAGAGAGGCATCTGAGAGAGGCTGGCTGAGAGGGCATCAGGCTGAAGACAGGCATCAGGCTGGGTACAGGCATCAGGCTGAAGTGCGGGTGCCGAGGCATCAGGCTGAACCACGGAAGGCAGGTTCTCAGACGGGTAGGCACCGGTTTGGATACTGGCAGGATGGTATTGGTTGGAAAGAATTTTCGCTTTTTTCTGGTTTTAACTACTGGAGCACTGCAAGTAAACGCAGGTCTGCAAACGAATGGAGCAGCTGGAGACAGAGAAGAGCTGGAGGATGGAACAGAGGAGGGAGCAGTTGCTACAGAGGGCTTTTTTACAGGGTTAAAGGCAGGATAGGTGCAGCGAGTGGGAACAGGGTACTGACATGCGGTAGATAGCAGGGCAGGAGGAGCTGTTGGGAATGCAGGAATAGAGCTTTGAGGAAATAGATTAGAAGCAGGACTGGGTTTTTGTAAGCTGACTGAGGCTGGGTGCAACAAATCTGTCCATGTCTGCAGTATGGGTTGAACAAAGCTGAGCTTACACAAAGCCTGTCTGACCAAAGACTGCACTGCGTTTATACAATCTCTTAGTATCTGTGGTGAACATGCAGCATAATGCTCCAAGAAGCAATCCACATCATCCTCTAATAACCATACCAGGGACTCTACCTGGTCGGCACTAAATGGCGGCAAAAATTCATCCCTGCATTCGGGGGTACCAGATGAAGCCAACTCCGCACAAATCTGAATCAATGGCTGCACCTCAGAGAATTCTGTGCCCTGATCTACTAGAACATGAGCGAGCCGTATACATTCTAGCAGTTCATCCCGGGGATACTCCTTCAGAGTTTGATAAGCATACTCTCTGTCATCAAACACTAGCAGATATAAATACACAACCTCATCAAGATCCATCCTTCCCATCAACAAACCAAGATGGCTTCCCTGTGCAGCCACTTCTGGTCAGGATTGGCCTTGGTGTAATGTCAGGGCTCCCAGGTATGACCAGAGGTGTGTGACTGACGCAGGGAAACGCAGACTTCAGATATGTTATAAACAATATAATTTATTAACACTAACAATACAAACATAAACGCAGTGCAATACTAAAACATAACACAGTGCAAAAACCAAACCAAACCAACCACCCACAGATGACAGTACATACAATGCAAGCGTCGTCAGGCAGGCCGGGTCAATATCAATCGGGCAGGTAGGTACAGGGGGAGCAAGCGGAGAATGGTTGGGGTCACAAGCCAGGTTCAGCAGGTAGCGGGCAGCGTGGTACAGAGGGTCAGGCAGAGAGATGGTCAGGAACGAGCCGGGGTCAGAGCAGGAGAAGTCAGCAGAGGTCAGATCAGGCAGGGTCAGCAACAAGACAGGAACAGGAACGGGAGCAGGAACAGGATACAGGGCCCAGGAGAAACACACACCAAGGCAGAGTCTGCAGGTCTGGCCATCCCTTAAATACACCAGTATAATCAGTTCCAGGTGTTTGACTGGCTGCAAGGTTGAGTCTCTGATTGCTGGGAGCACCCGCTGGCCAGCCCTGGTACTGCAGCTCATAAGGCAGGTGAGTCCCACTATTGCTGGCCAGTCCATTCCTGACACATTCCAATCAAACTAGCTTTTTAAAGTAAGATGCACATGAAAAGGGCTTTTCACAGAACAAACACAATACAAATCTTTCCAACACATGTACCAGCTAGCTAGCAAAAAAAAAAAAAAATTTGCCTTATAAACAGAGGTGTTTCACACTGCAACGTCAATGCCCCTCTGTGAAGTTTGGTCCCTAACTCCTGACTCTAATCTATTAGATACTCCTTCTTGGAAAATATAAAGAAATAAAAACTCTGAGGGACTTTGAGGGCAGGTATGCCATGAAAATAGCCCATTTTCCTTAAAGTCTGTGGAGCACAGCAGAAGCCCTGCACCTCACAATGGCACAGAGGCATAGCTTGAAGCTTGTGGGCCCCAATGCAAAAGTTGATCTGGGACCCCCCACACTACCACACTTTATGCACTGCCCCCTCCTGTACACATTACTTACCCCTCCTGTATGCACTGCTTCTTCTTGTACACATTTTCCCCCTCTCTGTATGAACTGCTGCCCCCTCCTGTACAAATTCCCCCTTCCTGCACACATTACTCCCCTCCCTGTATGCACCACCACCTCCTGTGCACATTATCCTCCTCCCTGTAGGCACTGCCTCCTCCTGCTCACATTACCCCTACACACAGATTGCCCCCTCCATTTATACGCTGGCCCCATCCCCCTCCACCCACACATTGCCTTATTTCTCTTGCACACTGTCCCCAGGAATTTCAGACATCATTTGCTGAGACGTGGGTTAAAGCTAATGATGTCTCTGCTCAGCTGCACACTGGAGCTACTTGCATTCCTAAATAAGCTGTGAGTCAGGTTCTCTCTGCTCACATTCCTGAGATTGTGGACCTGTCAACCTATCCAGCTCCCCATAGTACAAAACAATGAAGGCAGAACAGTAGCAAAGCTGCCTAGTCCCACAAGAAGCTCTGACTGGCTGCAGAGTGGTAGTAGAAAGTGTTGGCGGCTTCCCAGAAAGAAGTCTGTTGCTTACCTGGGGCAGTAACAGCAGCAGGAATCTGACTTCACAGAGCAGCTGCAGGTTCAGTGCAGAATCACTGTACTGGACCTGCAGCGGACACCCGGGCCCCCTTGTCATGGGTTGCAAGTGTGACCCCTTTGACCTCTGATGCTACACCCATTGCAATGGCAGCTAAAGACTTCCCGCATAAATTAATTTAAAACTAACTTTTTAAAAAGAAAGGTGTACACAGAAAGGCCTTCTCACAGAACAAACGCATTATAAAAAATTTCTCATCACACACAATAATCAAACAAATAATCAGAAAAACAGTAATGTGCAATTTTATGTTTACTGTACGAATGCAAGATAAATTAAAATTGTCAATAAAATTGTAAAGGGGTATGCAACAAGCATAAGACAAAACTATGTAGTACAGGTCTGCCTAGGATCAGTTTATTGAAGGGGGCAGCATGGTCTTTAAGACACTCTGTCACATACCTGATGGGAGACTGAAATGACGAGGTCGGCCTCACTTGTGTCACTAGCCCTGACCCCACTGGAGTTGGAGCAGAGGGAGTCTAGGTACCAGGGGGACAAGAGCACCAGTAGTTGTTGTTTACAGCTCTTGCAGATGATGACTTTGGAAGACTGATGATCCTCTAAATCAGGCACAGTAGTAACAAGCAGAGCAGGTCTTGTAGATTGCCAGGCGTGCACCAGAGCAAGGCAGGTAGTCAGGGTGAGAGACAGGAGCAGTGTCATGGAATAGCCAGGGTCATCAACAGTTGGGCAGCACGGTACAGAAACAGAAGGAAAGCCAAGGTCAGGTGCAGAGCCGAAGTCAGGAACCAGTATCGATCAGGAGAGCCATCAGAGTTAGGTCAAGAACAAGCCGGGTCAGCAACAAAGGAATCACACAGGAACAAGCAGAAACAGTGGAGCTGAAGACCAGTCAGCAACTAACATGGACAAAGACACTCTTTAAATAGCCCGTCTGGCACCAATCTTCGCTGTGAGTGTGCATGTGCGTGTGCGCGATTGCTCATTTCTGCTTGCATGCGCACAACCGCCCACTCTTCTCCGGACGTTCCTATGCGCACTTCTATTCGCAATTCGGCTTCCCAGAAATCTCTTACACACTCACTAGAAACAAATACTATAAACAATGCAAACGACTACTTGCATTTTCTTGGAACAGCATCTCTCTCAAAATATTGTCATTTGTTGTTATTAACAGTTACAGTGCTCAGCATAAATGAGTACACTCCAAGGGATTTGTCAGAAAACCTTTACTTTCCTTTCAGAAACAACATTTTCTATGGGACACTATACTATAAAATACTTCCACAAATAATGCCATTGATTGTAAACAAGATGTTTTAATTTTATAACACACAAAAAAGTATTTTTCCTAACAAATTCATTCAAGACCATGTTGCAAAAATTAATACAGGCCGATGAAAGTCTTAAGGAGCAAAGCTAAACTTTAGATAACAAAATCTTAATTAACAAGAATTCAACTACAGCTGAACCTAATTAATAATTAAATAGGTGTCCAGCAGACAGTTGAATATAAAAGGGCGTTACTTAAAGAAAACCCCATCTCATTGCATGCTGTCAGCAATGGTACCACATGGAATAGAATAAAATAATTTCTTTACACAAAAAGGTGAAGGCTACAAGAAGATCAGCAAAGCTTTACTTATCAGTCAGAAAACTGTAGCAAAAGTGATACAAACATTTTTTAACAAAGATGGAACTGCAATCATCTCACAGAGACATCCAGGCCATCCATGGAAGTTAACACCTCGATAGGAGCGTTTTCAGAGAAGGGTTGAAGAAAATCACCATGCAAGTTCACTGTAGTTAGCTAAAGAAGTATAAAGCAAAACTGGGGTGATTGTTTCCTGTGACACAATATGCGCGCACAAACTGCAGAGGAATGGCATGAATAGGTGTCGTCCACGAAGGAAGCCTTTCCCCTAAAGCCCAAGCACAAAAAAGCAGCCTAGAATTTGCCAAGGCCCATGCCAAAAAAGAAGAAGACTATTGGGACTCTTGTACTCTGGAGTGATGAGACCAAGCTAAATATTTTTGGAACTGATGGCTTCAAAACTGTGTGTTGTTGCAATGATGAGGAGTACAAAGAAAAATGTGTGGTGCCTACACAGTCAAACATGGTGGTGGCAGTGTCACACTTCTGTGGGGCTTCCCTGCTGGTGTCGGGGAGCTGCCAATTTCATTGTTGTGGGTATCATGATTTCACAGATGCAC